TATATATATATATATATATATATAAACTGAATAAATATGTGTTTCCATTTCAAATAAATTTATGCATTTTGGAGGAATCGATTTAATTTTCGTCTTCTTAGTACCTCTCCAAGTAATTCAATAAATCAATGTATATTCAAAATTTTCCTAAGTTCCTGTCCATTTTAAAGTAAAAGGAAAAAACATATATCTGTTTATAGTCAATAAATAAATAACTAGGATCCTTTAAAATATAGGACAATAAAATAAGGAATTAGTATGACTTATTGTAATTTTCGTCAGTTTGTCCATGGGAGAGATCATGTGAAGAAAATATATTTCTTGCGAATCTCTTTCAACTCATACCTCAGCATCCAATCTCTCTCTCTCTCTCTCTCTCTCTCTCTCTCTCTCTCTCTATCTCTAGAATCCCATTTCTATAAATGTATGCGCCTTCGCGTCTCCATTATTTACACACCACCATATCTTCTCCAACCCCACCAAAATAACCAAAAATGCACCAAATACTCTCAGCTCTGTTCTTCACGACCCTCTTAACGTCCATATCCTCCTGCTTCTGCAGTTACCCACTTGATCATGGATATGATGATCTCTTCTTCTCCTCCAATGATGGAACCATGCTCCGTAACCACGGTTTCAGAGAGAAAACACGTGATCTCCACGTGCCAGGATCGTACAAATACAGGGAAAACGTCAGACCCATGAAATATCATCGCCGCCATGGAAATGCCCCAAAATCTTCTCCTCAAGTTTTCAACGTCGATGATTTTGGAGCTAGGGCTAACGGCGCCGACGATTCTCATGTACGTGCATTATACCATGTTTGCAGTCCGCATCTATTCGATATCATTAATGACCAGCGCATTATATCGTTAACAGTCTGAATTAGTTTTATTTATTAATTACTGGTTTAAATATTGGGTTTGATTACCGTTCTTGAAGGCATTCAAGAAAGCTTGGGATGCAGCATGCTCGTCGTCCACAAGGACAGTGTTCTACGTGGTTCCTAGGAACAGGGTTTATCATCTTAAACCGGTTAAGTTCTCCGGTCCATGCAGATCACAAGTCTTAGTATTTAAGGTAATGATTCGGAAAATGAAGAACAATGTACGTACACGTATACGCACAAAATGTGACACGCATACGTATAAACGTAGGGTTTTCGTATTTTGTCGTTGAATTAGGTTTATGGAACCCTCAAGGCGTCGAGGAATCCGTCGGACTATGAGAGAGACAGGAGACATTGGATCGTTTTCGACACTGTCCATAACCTAAGAGTCGAAGGCGGCGGCCGCATCGACGGTAACGGCAAAATTTGGTGGCAGAAATCTTGCAAAATCAACCCTTCACTTGTAAGTTGTACCACAACATATCTTACGTCCTATACCACCAAAATTTTAAAATATACTATTGGTTTAGATCGATTTGGTTTGATTTAGTTTGGTTTAATAGAAAGCATAAATATTTGCGAGAAAACCCGCATAAACCTATAGTATTTTTCAATAGATTTGAACAAAAAAAATTACATTATACGACATATATATATATATGTATATATGAAAAGATACTAATTTTGTGGGTTTATTTTGTAATTGCAGCCGTGCAAGGAAGCCCCAACGGTGAGAAATGCATAGCCTTTTTAATTATGAATTAATTAATAATATAGATTAATGTAATGGAATTATAAGTAGCAGTTTATATTGTCTATAATAAAGTTATTCTTTTTTTTTTTTGGGTGCAGGCTGTTACATTTACGGCGTGCAAGAATTTGATGGTGAGACAAATAAGGTTACAGAACGCGCAGCAAATGCACATTTCGTTTCAAGATTGCGAGAACGTAAAGGCTGTCGGACTTTCGGTCGCATCTCCGGGGAACAGTCCAAACACCGACGGAATTCACGTCTCCGGCACCAAAAACATCCTCATCTCCGATTCCGTCGTCCGTACCGGTAAATGCCGATATCATCCCACGAGAAATTAATTATAAAAAAAAAACCCTAGGAACATGAAATCTTTTATAATATAGTTATCAGAAACAAATCCCATTTATAAAAGAGTCACATTTTCTTGTTTCGGTTTAGAAAAATATTTTTACCATTATATCGTCACTTTATAAACCATTAGAAATTCAACCTCTGCTTTTTTTTTTTTTTGGTAAAGTAATTCAACCTCTACTTTCTGGTCTAATTTATCTATTTTTCGTATGTTTTTTTAATTTACAAAAAAGGTGACGACTGCATATCGATAGTGAGTGGGTCGGAAAATGTGAGGGCGACGGGTATAACTTGCGGTCCGGGTCATGGAATCAGGTCCATCCCAACTCCCCTAATTTTTACCTAAACTATTTTATTTTACTGACCCTTATTAATTATTATTATTATTATTATAAGCATTCATACAACGAGTAATTCTCAACTAATTTATATCAACTTCAACCATAATCCATGATATAATATTCACATCCTAAATGTTGGTCCGATCTTAATTTTATTTACTGGTTCATTGTTGGTATACATCTCAGATGTTTCTTTCCTATATTTTGTAATTTTGAAAAAAAAAATTCTGAAATATTTGTTTTCTGTAGACAGGATTATTTGCAATTTATAAAAAAGATTTTTATGTAAAAGTTGTTTTATATTGTGCTTAGTAATAGTAATGCAAACTGAGTTTTAGACTTAATTACATGGAGTTAGAATATGTATCTATTATATTAATCATAACTACTTTGTATTAAAATTAAATCTCCCAAAAAAATATGAAAACCAAATCTGCAGCATTGGGAGTTTGGGAAAAGGGAACTCGGAAGCTTACGTGTCAAACGTCGTAGTCAACAAAGCGACCATTATAGGAGCCACTAATGGTGTCCGAATCAAGACTTGGCAGGTATATTCCCAAATTTAGACATATCCAATATTTTAAAATATATAATTTAAATTAAATTCACACGTTTATTGTTTCATTGAAAACGCAAATGGAGTTTTTGTAAACATTTAAATAAAATAAATGATATATGTAGGGGGGCCGAGGGTATGCGAAGAACATCGTGTTTCAGGATGTCGTAATGAAAAACGTCACCAATCCGATAATCATCGATCAAAATTATTGTGATCGAGACGGCTCATGCCCCGAGCAGGTAACATCTTTATTCTGTTCCATAGTTACAAAGATTGATACACTAATTAGAATGATGTATCAAGTGAATTTAGACAGTGTTTTTATCGTAATTTATATATATATATATATATATTAAACACGTTTTGACATACTATAAAAATGTTTCAATAGACTCT